TATACATATTTATTTATTTATTTCTTTATTTATTACACGAGTAGCCACGTCTGGGGAAATTCCACAACACAATTACGAACACAACTATCGATCAATTACGTTCTAGGACATTCAAACCAAATCATAAAAGAGGACATAAATAACTCACCAACAGTAAAAGCAAGTAAATAAATTGAGAGACCCAGTACTGTATCGAAGCAGCAGAGAAAAAAGGAACAAAAGAAACAGCTTAGGACCAAGGAATTCTTTAACCCGTCGTCGTGTTCGGGAAATTTTTGAACGCGCTGTAGGTTATTGTTGACGGATGCTTTTTGCATGAGTTTTGGAATATTGGAATTCACCCTGTGGGTGAAAAATTTCGCCTGCAACTCAATTTGGCCCGGCCCACATCAATTTTCATCCTACCGCCTCTTGTGATGAGGTTTTGTGTAACCCACAGCTGTTCAGGATCTAGTTTAGCTTTTCCATTAATAAGTTTATGAAACAATAAAAGGTCGTTCTTCCGTCTGTATTGCAGAGTTTGTAGACCGAATTCTTATTCCTTACGTCACTTGAAGGGATTTGGTCATACATAAACCCAAGGACTCGCACATCCAGCTTCCTTGTGAAGCTGTTTTGTACCGCCTCCAGTTTATTAATCGATTTAACTTTGAGAGGATTGAACAGGTGTACCATATTCCAAAACAGATCTTACATATAATTGTAAGCCTGCAAAAGCATAGACGAACTCTTTGTCGACAGTGCTCTAAATATGTTATGCATGATAACGGTTCCTTTCCTTGCGATGTCATCACAATGATCATCAAAACTAGGACAGTGTTGACAAGGGAACCTAGGTCTCTTACTTTTTCGACTTACAGACAGAACCGTGCTTCCATTTTTTATATATGTGCCGTATGTTTCGCGAGCCAAGGTAAAGCACCCTAGTTTTAGTCTCGGATAGAGGGAGGCCCCATTCCTCTAACCACTGGTGGACTTTGTTAAGAACACCTTGAAGGTCTTCAGCATCGTCTGCATTAAGAACCGAACGAAAAGCTTGAGGTCGTCAGCAAACGACACATTTCAACGTCAGATCGCTCTGAGATGAGAGTGAGGTCATATGTAGAGATATTAAAAAGTACAGGCGAAAGACCCCTCCTTGTGGAACCTTAACGAGTTTTTTCACTTTACCAATGCGTTTCAGACCATCTGCAACACTGCCGCCCTAGTTTTCTGCAATCTCTCGAACTGTTTGGGATGGCTCAGCCTCCAAAATCCCCCCAAACCTCGTCAGGTATTGCTTTAGGTCGACCGCTACGAGGTTCATCTTCAGCGGTGAGATCTCCAGAAAACGTTTGTCGAATCATTGCCGCACAGTGCTTTCTCTAGCACTATTGGGCCCCCACACCTGGTTAATTTGTTGAGCTATCTTGATTGGATTGACCAATTTTTAGTCGAAGAAAAATATCGTCCGAAGTTGCTCTTTTGACATGCTTCAAAAAGTCGGGAAAAGGGGGGTTATCGAGCAATTGGTGAAACGCAATTATACATCAGATAGCGCAAAGAATTCTCTTCAAGATGTACTACTCAACGCAAGGGAGAATGTGTTTTTAATTAGCACAATAATGTACAAAAATGGTAACACAAAACGCTGAGAACTTTTCGGATAACCTCATAACACTGTTTTCAGCGGATCTGGTGATTTCGAGTGTTTTGGCGCCGGCGAATGTAGCGCGGATGTGATATTATGTTTAGAGGAAATAATTACACGCATTTTCAGCCAATTCTGCAAACACCGAAAAAGTCGCGTCAAAAACTGGCCTGCTTTTGGAAGATTGGGGCAGTAAGGCGTAAGTGGTGCCGAATCCTCAGCGATTGCAATGGCGATTACCCTGCTTGCGTCAAATCCGGTCCGATATCTTTTCTGAGCTATAAAAGTCCAAAAAAGTCTTCTGTCCGTAGCCGGCACTAGCGAATCTAGAACTTGATATCGATACTGTGATGCAAGTGCAACTTGCCCACTACACCATCGCCACCGCCATTCATTTTTTAATGTCCCCTTTCCTGAGCTACAGCTTACTCTCAGCATAGTATTCTTCATCTATGATCTAATTTGCAGTTTTCGTACACAGTCCTAGTTGGCTCCTTATTCTCAGGGCTGTGAGCACTTGTTGGGAAAACAAACATCCTGTCCGGAATAGCCCGCAACGAAGGGCGGCGGGCCTCCGTCGCTGCTTGCCGTTACTGCTGCGAGTGTCGTTCATCATCCGTCGGTGCGCTGCTTTCGCCCTCATTTTCAATGCGCGAATTCATTTGCGTGAGCGGCAGCTGACTTAGGAATGTTAGCTGAGCCTTTGAATTCACGTCATATTCGTCCATGTTGGTAACAGAACCCAAAATGTTATTTGGTCAGCCTTCTCGAAGAGTTCCATTGCCCTTGCAGTCTGTTTCCCACCACAACCAAGCCTTTGAAAGCTTTCTGAGATTCATTGAGGCAAACGAAAACGGGCCAAGCCATGGCACTCAACAACATTGCGCTTCCATTTGCGACTCGTCGTGCCTCGAGCAGTTGTGCTGCAGGATGAGAGGAGGCCGTTGGCACTCAATATGTGAGTGTCAAGTGGATATGATGATCCATTACAACGTGCCGTCACACGAAATGTTCAGTGCCGGCTACCTCCCAGACGTCTGTCGGCTTTCGTCATGTAACCCGTTATGTTTTTGCCAGATCTCTGGACCTGGTTAGAAGTTTGACCGTAGAGGCCGTAGAAGAGGAGTGACGCAGTGACGCGAGAGCCTCGAAGAAGTGTGTTTCCGCAGCCGACGGCCCTAATTGACGCAGTTGGATTTCCGGAGAGATGAAGGAGAAAGGCGCTAAGCTGCTCTATTCACCCGATACAATTCCTAACAATGGATAAGCGAATGTTGACCGATCGGGATTTCTCCTCTACTTTAGTCCCATTCATTCCTTCACAACAGTTCTTTAACGCTATGCGATAAACTTCCATTCTAAAGGGGGGGGGGGTATCGTAGAGAGCCCATAGCGATGCATTCGTTAACGCTGGCCGTGAACTTCCACTGGAAGTGGCAAATTGAAAGTGCTGCAGGAATCCGATCCGATTCCATGGAGTTACATCACCTAGCACTCAGATTACCAGCGATTGTCGCGCTAGAACTTGCCTCTCAACAAAACCCTCACTTTTTCCCATTCCTGTGACTACTCAATTGAGGCTAGCCTGATCCCGCTTCCTGCCCGTTGCTAAGGTTCCAGGCTTTATCGGAAATCAACTGCGTCGTGATGCAGTGAGTGATTTTGAAGAGTGAAAAGTGATTCATCCAAATAATCCTGTCATAAAATCACAAATAAGGTCAGTCTCTTGTGAGGCTTTCTCATACTTAATCAGTATCTCCCAGCAAAGTATTACGGTATCCGAATTTGATTTGAATTTTGATAAATGATCTCTTTTGTGAGGGGTCATTGGTTAGCGATTCGTGATCCGGAAGTTGCGGGGGGGGGTTGTCCAAGACACTCCATAGTTACGCCCCTTGGGATTTTTTTGGGGTGCTTTTCTTCGACAGCTTTTGCTCCTCTATCAGCGTCCCCTCTAAGTTTTTATTATCTGACAAGTAAGTGGATTTGAATCGCCGTTGCTGCCTGAATGGCTTCTACCGACGGAAACTGCACACATTTTACGGGGATTAATTGTTTTTTGGCTTCTCAACTGGCTTAAACAGCTATTCAACGGAGAGCAAATTCTCCTAGACTGAGGCTTTTCACAGCAGGCAATGCATGGAAGGCCCACATAGCTTTTTGTCGTGTTGTTGCCTGCGCTCTGGCAACTTTACTAAGGCCTTGAATTGCCAAACGACTCACCCTTTTCCTCTAATTTGTTGACTAATGTGTCCTACAAGGTCGCTTTCGGTGCACCACAGAGCGTCAGTCAACCTGCTTTACCGCGGAAGCGCCAGTGTGAAAGATTTTGTCTCCCTTTTTTGCCGAACTTGAACTTATGTGATGGGATTCTTATCGATTGACAATACTTTTGAAAGGTTTCGTAGAGCCGGAAATAACTCGGAACCTGGGCACGTCTTGCCACGGGAAAGACTTTTCGCAAAACATGTCCCCTCTCTCCCCTCGAAGTTAACCCCTCTGCTATGACCCCCGTTCCCACACCCCACTCTGCTCCATCTTGCTAAAGCTTTCCAGATTCCTATCATATCTCCACAGTTTTTTGTCAAAACTTCCTCCACTTTACTCCCAAAAACTACTGCTGATGGTGGAGGGAAGGGGGGGGGGAGTATTGGGAACATATCACATTTGAGACATGAAAAACCGAGGAAAGTCAACATCCGAGAACATTCCTCTCAAGGACAATTAATGCAAATAGGACCCCTCCCTCCAGGGGCCAAATAGGACCCTCCCCTTTGTCCAGTGCACGACATGCTCTGCCCTTGATTTGTAAGCCACCTAAGGGCTCAAAAAATGTTAGTCCTGTAGGGAGACATTCTGTCTAACTATGGGGAAAACGGCATAGAATTTCAACAGAGGACAGCATCTAGATTTGGAAGCCACGGGAAGCCTTTTTTTGGTGCCGAATCAAGTGCCTGGCGAATTCGTGCAAGAAGCCAAGGGTGTGGCGCATTCCAGAGGACTTAATCTATGACGACCTGCTATCTATGCATACTTTCTCGTTCACTAACAAATTATTTATCTAAAGAGAGCGGTGATTTTCCAAGTAAATCCTCCTTTTCCATTCCCTAATTCACTGCTGCCCATGTCGCCCATTTCGCTCCTTTTTATGCTGGCTGATGCGATTCAGAAGGGAGGCGCAATCTTCTCTAAGATTCTCATAACATCCTCACGAAGGTAATTAGTATGCAAAGGAATAGCGTTCGTATAGACTATTCGCCCTATTTGGCTACTTCTCTCTTGAGAAGATCCCCAAATATATGCGTGCCAAGGGATTTCTTCTCGAAATTCAAGTGGAGTCCAATCCATTCAAGTGCTACTTACATTTTCGATGCAGGAAGGGAGGCGGTACCTCGTCGCTAACTGGGTTAATCTAGCGGGCAAAGAACAACGTCAGGTAAGCAAGTAGGCTGATGATCAAAGAACAAGCCCGGAGAGTGGAGGTTGCATTGGGAGGACATTGAGAGGATAACCACAACATGAACGGTGTGGTGAATGCATTTGACCAGGCGACTCGACTCTTCGTATATCTCCCGGAGAGATCTCGTATTTCGCTTCTTTCTCGTCCTCGAATCGATGGCTTTCCCTCGACTCGGCCACGCCTTCTAGCACGGGAAGTCCAGTCACTCTTTGGAAGAGCGCGTTTTTGCTCCCTGAGGGCGCCGCCCATTTCAGGTTGTCATTGAGCAAAGTTGTCCTCCTGAATTCTCGATCACTTGTTTGCTACTCAATATTGCTTGCTTAGCCATCATTTTAGGGCGTCGGGCCCTAGCTGACAGCTGGCCGCTCATGCGGTTGGCCTGTCAGCGAGGTTCCGGCGAGTGAATTCCCAAAAACTCTTGTGACAATATCTCGGAATTGTTGAATTTCTCGCTGAATGACGCGGGCGCAAGCTTTGAATAAGCCTTGTTTCCGGTCCGAAGCCCGTCGTCGTGCCTTTTCAACGTCGTGTTCCGCCTTCGTTCTTGTCCCATGTCTACGGTGTGCACTTGGTATTAGCGATTGAGCGTATTCGCTTGAATGAAGAAATACATGTACAACTAAATCGTTTCAGTTTCCGATTTTTACGCGTCAAAGCGCAGGTGCTTCGTCTAATGGCATCGATCTAGACACTGCAAGACAGCAAAGCATGCGCACTTCCGTCCCTCTGGCGACTCGAATAGGGCCAATATTGGCCCTCATCTGTATCGTCATTACAATCATCTCTACAGTTGAGGGCAAGAGGAAACTTAAAGAACAGGAGATCATTCAACGTATTCTCAACAACTACGATTGGAGAGTCAGGCCAAGGGGATTGAACGCTTCTTGGCCAGGTCAGTGTTCAGCCAATCGCTTTTTTCGCTTGTCATTAATGAGGGAGGGTTTTAGATACTGGAGGTCCAGTGCTGGTCACAGTTAACATCTATTTGCGTTCGATCTCAAAAATAGATGACGTCAATATGGAATACAGTGCTCAATTTACCTTTCGAGAAGAATGGGTCGATGCAAGGCTCGCCTATGGTCGTTTCGAGGACGAATCCACAGAGGTGAGCTATCAGTTCGCTGGTTATCCAAGACAACAATTTATCAGTGCTACATTTTCAGGTGCCGCCGTTTGTGGTATTGGCGACCAGCGAAAATGCGGACCAATCGCAACAAATTTGGATGCCTGATACCTTTTTCCAGAACGAGAAGTACGTTCCGTTAGCCGGATGCGACACTCGGCCCTCTAATTCACTTATGTTCCCTTACTAATCGGCACGTCCGCTGCTCCCCTCCATGCCCTTTTGGAAACACTATTAACATCCCTGCTTTCTTTTGAGAAACTGCTTCGATAAAGTACAATAGGTCGTCCACAGCATCGCCTTCCAAATCCGGTGATTGCCTAAACGGACCCAACAGTGCGCAATTCTTTGCCAGGTGAGGCAAATTTCCTTATTGGAAACTAGGAACCAGGTCTTTTGGCACTGTGCCTGCTATTGAAGATCCAGTGCTTCTAGAAGGCATTCCGATACAATGATAGTTTTCTTTTTCGGCAGAGAACCCGTGGTGTTTTGCAACCAGTTTCTTTTTTGTAATGGTGCAGGGAAAATGGCACACTTAGTCATGAACAGCGGTGTACCCAATCTTGGTTTTCTTGTGTGTGTCTGTACAAGGCCCGGCTTTGAACTATTTATTTTATGACTGCTTGGAAACCATGTGTCAGCCGGACAGCCTTTTTTTGTAGGCTCTTCGTGCTGATGCGGGGACGTAGTGGACCAGGTCACTGGTATTAAAGAGGTGAAGTGAGGCAAACAAGCGAGAATTCATCCTCCTACTTAGAGATTTTTTTCACCAACCAGTAGGTGCCAACATATTTCGGAGGGGGGGGGGTCGACGGTGGGGTAAGGGGGAAGTACACGACAGCGCCTCTGTGTCCTTTCACTAATCAAGGCTTAGGCTTAGTAGAGAGGTAGAGATAAGCTTCTTTGCAGACTTTTCCCTCGAGGAAACTGGTCGTCTGCTCTCGCCTCTCCTCTAGACCTAAGGGATACAAGCTGCTGCTGAATGATCCCTTGAACCTCCTCCGGTTATTGCCTACCGGAACTCCTGGTCTCGTTCAAAGCTCGGGCAAACCCCTGATTCCCTGGCTCAGAGTAAGGCGATGCCCTAGTTGCGGAGCCACACGAGGACGCCTCTGCGTCCCTTTCATTCTCATTGCATCTCTGAATCGCAAGACCTTGCTCTCCTTTTCTTTTTTCTTCATCCTTCCTTCCTCTTCGTTTCCCTCCTTGTTTTCCTCTCTTCGAATGTTGACCAGAAGATAGGGTGAGGTGGACTCCCGCATTGAAAGAACGGCCTATTGACAGAAGCCCTGTAACCTACACTACATGGGACTAGACCGGTCGTCTGCGCTCTCGGCCCATGCATTGGTTAGGTGAAGTAAAAAAGGAAGCCCAGTTGCGTGACCCCACTGAAGCGCTCAAAGGAAATTTCCTTCTTTCAATTCCTTTCTGTAAGGACCACTGAATATAAAAAAGGATTGGAGTAACGGCGTGTGAACGAAATCCATACAGCTTCGTATCTTGAGAAACTCCTAGCGCGAAATCAGAACTATCGCGAGCCGACGAGTTGCTGCACTAAAGTGTCCCCCCTACTGAATAGGGACTGGTTTTTTTCTTTTCTCAGAGTAAAATATGTTTCAGGGAGGCACGACGGCATCTGATCGACAAACCGAACGTGCTCATTCGTATTCACAAAGACGGCTCTATTCTATATAGCGTAAGGTTCGTTGCTTCATCGTCATGTTGTTACGTTCAATTTCCTTTGCCTTTCCCTAACGAAGCGCAAAACATTCGAGGAGCCATTGTGTCAACATCATTAGAGTGATCTCCGATTGTGGCTCATCACTTCAATTCAATCACTTAATCCTATCCTCCTATCAGGTTATCACTGGTGTTGTCCTGCCCGATGTCGTTGGAATTCTATCCATTGGATCGACAAAATTGCCTTATCGATCTTGCATCATGTGGGTGTCCTAATCGCTTTTAGCCGCATCGGATTTCCGTCGCCCAAGCCTCTTATGTCGTCCAATAGACGTCCCTGATGTATGTTTCTTCAGATGCCTACACTACGCAAGATATCAAGTATGAATGGAAAGAGCAGAATCCTGTCCAACAAAAGGACGGCCTACGACAGTCGTTACCAAGTTTCGAATTGCAAGATGTCGTTACCAAGTACTGTACCAGCAAAACCAATACGGGTACGTGTGGCGCAGAAACTCGTTTAACTCATTTCTTCAATTCTAAACGCTTTGACGAAGTGTTAGTCGCTGTCGCTTTGGCTGCCGACATCGCTTCGTGCGCTCTCGCTTCAACTCTGATCGATCGTCGGTCGATCAATACCGAGAGAGAGGCGATCGATTGAGTCGATCCATGTGATGTACGGTAGTAGTTTGTTGGGCATGCTTTAGGGGAATATTCATGCCTGCGTACTCAGATGGTTCTACGTCGCGAATTCAGCTATTATCTGCTGCAGGTGTGTCCTCAATGCTGTCTGTGTTCAGTGATATCGTCCATCGTGCTAGTCGTGCTAGTCCTGTCTGTCTTTGTCTGTCTTTCATCTCTCTCTCTCCCTCTTTCCTCTTTTTTTTCGTCATTTTTGTGTAGCTAATACAATGTTTCAGCTGTATATCCCTTCGTTTATGCTTGTCATTGTCTCGTGGGTCTCGTTCTGGCTGGACAAAGACTCGGTCCCAGCACGAGTTACGTTAGGTACGCTGCTTACTGTTGCGCCAATAACATACAAAATGTACAGTCTTGTTTGCTGCGGATAAAGGGGCGTGTCAGGCGAAATGGGTTGCACTGCGCCAAACCCGTTTTCCACCACTTGTTAGAGCGAGTAAGTAAGACTGTACGGGTTTGGCTGCTCGCTAAATCCATCCCGACTAAAACGCCCCTTAATCCTTGGCGAACATGGGTGTATGTGTAATCAGTCGAGCCCCACAACGCTGTGACCCGCTTTTTTATTCACTTCACCTGCTTATCCAATTCAACAAATAGCCCACCCCGGGGGCCAATATTCGACATAATTAGAAGAAATCCCTTATCTTCCCACTGAGGAGAAAATGCAATTCGATTCCGGCAAGCATTTATTGCTCTGTTATAATGTAAATCGAATATTGATGCAAGTGACTGCGTTAGAAAAAAATGAAATGATGCGGAGCTACAACTACAACGGCGGTCCCCAACGGCGAATAAGAAGAGTAAACAAGTGGGATGTGGCAGCCGCGCGCGTTGCGTCGCGGTCTCAAATAGGTTTTGACAACTTGTTGTGGAATACTCAAAGCATTTATTGATGAGAATCATAAAGCCGTGTTAACCTTTTCCACAGTAATTGCTCAAAACAACGGTTCAGTAAGTGGAATGCGAAGGGGGGAGGGGGAGGGGCAAATATAGTATTGTTACGTGTAATACCATACTTACGGCAGCGGAACCACATGGCTCGGGGTAGAGTGCAGCTCTGTCATCGCCCATAGGCTTTCAAGGCATGGAATTTCAACGACGAAAGAGATCAGGCTAAAGTGCGCATATCTTAAAGAGGTATCGGCTGCGCTTTGGAATTAATGTCGAGGGGGGGGGGAAGCTGCGATTTTACTAATCGTTTTCTGCTTCCTCTATTGAAGTGAGCGTCATCAAACTTCAGCTTTTTGCTAAAACTCTAGGAAGAGTTCCTCTACGCTTTTCGTTTTTGCTGGGAAGATTTGTTTGCATAGCGGATATTGCCTGAAGTGTAATCTCCAAAGATGAGCGCTCTGGACCTCGACCGATAGCTTATTTCCAGAGATTTTTGTAGGCTGATAGATATGAAGGACTTTATTTCCTCGGTACCACTATAAAGGGATATTTGCTGACGCTTTCAGTGCAATCTCGGGTAACCTAAAGACTCATTCTATGAGAGGGATAGGCTGGATCCCATAACAGTTGTGCTCGATCCCGGCCATATGCTGTAAGGCCCATGCGCACATCATTGAGAAAGGCATTTGTGTCTCCGCCCATTCGGTTATCGCGGAATTTGCGAAAATGTTTCCTCTTCGAGCTGCCTGAAACTAAATACCATGTTCGTTCACATTACAGTTCAATGCCAGGTATCATAGCGGCGCATAGAGCCTCTAGAAAGCTTCCCATGGGCGCCACCGAAGAAAACTGCTGTTCAGTCTCCTGCTCTGAAAGTCATCTGCAACACATTAAAGCGGGTGCATAAGGCGAAATGCGATGACGATCGTGTTTTCAGGTGTCACCACTCTGCTCACCATGACCACACAGGAAAGCCAGCGTCCATTTGTCTTTCGTTGTCGTTCTTGTAGTTGTTCGTGTTGTCATTGTTAATGTGGTTGTTGTTGTTGTTCCTAATGTCTGTGACTAAATAACAACTCGCTTTTAGAGTTCCGGTATCAATGCCAAACTGCCGCCCGTCAGCTACACAAAGGCACGCGGTTATCTGCTTTATGTCGTAACTTAGGCTGCGATCACACTCTGGGAATCAGGTGGCTGCTGTTAATGTTGGGTAGCACTTGCTGCTGAGAACTGTATCCTATCCTGGGTGTATAGCGCTTGTACCCGCCGTGCGCTGCGCAAAGGCGCTCAACTTTCGCGATATGAAACAAACTCGTCCGTTGCGGACGCTAAGGTGTGTCGGAGCGCGTTGATACTTCGCGACCCGCTATCAGATCGCTCGACTAGTAGAGCGATGGGGTCGCTCGACGATCGCGCAATCGCGAACTACGAATGCCCAGGAGGGTGGCGCGGCGCTAGCACATTTCCCACCAACTGTTGTCGCTTTATCTTCTGCGACAGTTGGAAGGGAACCTGCTGACGACGGCTGAACCCGGCTTATCTAGCCCGCTCTAGTATCCGCAGCGACCGATACTACGTACGCTCCGAGTTCGTGGCGGCGGGGGCCCGTCTTGGCTTTGCAGTGGAATTCTGCAACATCGCCCCTCCGCGACTTCCTCTTCTGACGTTCTGCTTGTTCAACTCTCACTCGTATCAGTATGGAGTATACGATCAAGCTGTAGAGCGGAGCGGGATTGGTGGGTAGGTGATGGAAAGGGAGGCTGCGACACAAGAAAAATCAACTATCAAAAAATTTTCCTCAGATCAAACATGATACCCATATGTACCCATACCCAACGATGATGTGCCCTGATTCAAATTCCAAATTGGAAAGTGGTTCAAACGAAACATCCTCAAAAATTTGCCATGGAGCGGATGCAGTGGGTAGTAATGTGCGTGAAACTGGAAACTGGAATAGAGAGCCAGATTTTTTTGTGAATTTGTTGCTAGAGGGACGGTGCTATTTGAGTCATAAAGATCGATTCTGAGTGTGCGCCATGCCTTAGACCTCTTCGTTTTTGGGGCAAGGCTTTGAAAAAGGTGAACAGCTCTACAAACAATGGTTTAGATCTCGATATGATTGTTCCAAAGTGCTATTTGAGATGTGCCTCCCATGAGCCATCATTTTTGACAGGAAATCGTGAGTTTTCCCCACTTATAGAGGCAGGACCCATCGTGAGTTCATCACGACATACAGCTAACGTTCACTGAAGGAAGAAGTATTTCAAGGCCTGAGCGAAGCCTAAGCGGCGAAATTATCGCGATGAAATATTCTAAAGATTGCTTTTTTGAAGTTTAGCGTTTTGGAGCTTCTTCATTTGTTTTGAACCCATTTAGAGCTAACTAATGTGGGGCGGCGGACCTCCCAGCCACAGGCGCCGGGTGATATTGGTTTACTTTTGGCGCCGCTAGCGCCTGTAGCGCGATCGCCAAAAGATTTCATGTTGAGCGATGTGTATTCATGTTCAGGAGGTCAGACTACCCTGCTATCTAGTTTCCGGAAGTTCTCAGCGTTTTGAAGTGTTTCATTCCAAAACGATGCAATAATTTCTTAATACTCCTCGATCTAAGTGAATAGGCACCGTTCGATTCAGCACACTTCTTGCCAATTGTAAAACATTCGATAATCCCATCAAAAGAAATAAACCTGAGTGTTAGAGAAGGGGATAAAAAGTTATAGTGGATCACAATAAGCTGATGACCAATCACACTGTGACCATGCACCTTTTTTTGGTGAAGATTCGGCTTTAGGAAATTGCCTCGGTGGTTCGTGCGGCTCCAAATACTGTCGCGTAATGTCTCCTTGTTATCACACGTGATCACACTTTTCAACTTCACAAGGCTGACAACTCGGTCCAAAAGCCGGTCGGTTTCTGATGCCAAAGCATTGAAAGAAGAAAAACTCGAGGCGTGCGCAATTTCTGGCCCGTCACTCACCTGTGGGGCATTCCACTTTTATATATACACATATATATTTATTAATTTATTTATTTATTTATTACACGAGTAGCCACGTCTGCGGAAATTCCAGCACATAGCAATTACGAAGCACAACTATCGTGCAATTACGTTCTTGGACATTTCCAAAACCCAATCATAAAAGAGGACATAAACTAACTCACGGCACAGTAAAAGCAAGTAAATAAATTGAGAGGCACCCCAGTACTGAGTATCGAAAGCAGCAGAGAAAAAAGGGACAAAAGAAACAGCTTTAGGACCAAGGGCATTCTTAACCGTCGTCGTGTTCGGGAAATTTTTGAACGGCGCTGTGTTATTGTGACGGATGCTTTTTGCATGAGTTTTGAAATATTGGAATTACGCCTGTGGGTGAAGAAATTTCGCCATGCAACATCAAATTTGGCCCGGCCCACCATCAATTTTCATGTCTACGCCTCCTTGTTGATTGAGGTTTTGTGTACCCACAGGCTTTTTCAGGATCTAGTTTAGCTTTTCCATTTAGGGAGTTTATGAAACAATAAAGGTCGTTTTCCGTCTCGGTATTGCAGAGTTTGTAGACCGAAAATTCTTATTCCTTACGTCACTATGAAGGGATTTTGGCTGCATACATAAACCCAAGGGACTCGCACGCATCAAGCTTTCTTGTGAATGCTGTATTGTAGAGCCTCTAGTTTATTAATCAATTTAACTTTGAAAGGGATTTGAACCACAGGTGTACCATATCCAAAACAGATCTAACATATAATTTGTAAGCCTGCAAAGTCATAGACGAACTCTTTGTCGACAGTGCTCTAAATATGTTATGCATTTATAATGGTTCCGCTTCCTTGGCGATGTCATCACAATGATCGTCATAACTAACAGTGGAGTCGTTCAGGGCGTGTGACTTTTCAAAATGGTCTTTGTGCATATTGTAGGGGCACATACGAAGGACCAGAAAACTGAGTCGCATTTTCGCTGCGCGCTCTACGAATAAAAAAAACGTAAAAAAATAGGTCGAATGGTTCGGATTGCCGCCGAGACCAAAATTTTGCTTTTCTACCAGATTTTTGTCATTTTTTTGGATCCATGTTTGCCTAAATAAGTGGTCATAAAAAAACATTCACGATAAACTGAACAAATCGCTACCTTTCAATGGAGGCAAAACTGCTTTTCTTTCGAATTCGTTAAGTATGCACAGCACTCAGCTCTTCGGCGCTATGCCGGTGTCAGATGGCACTGGTGAACGAAAAATAAAGTCTAGAATCATGAACTCAGGACTGTCGATTACCCTAGGAGCAAGTTTTGAGCCGAAAAATTTTTTGGGCTTTTTCGGGTTGTAGTGACCGACCATTTGGTGCGGCAGTGTGAGCCAAGTCTCACATCTTCGTAACAGCGAGAACGTTATCGTTTGGCGCTTACGGACACCGGACAGCTCCAAAATTCGGCCTAAACCTCGTTCAGGTATTGTTTAGGCGACGCTACGAGGTTCATCTTCAGGGCTGAGATTCCAGAACGTTCCGAATGCATTGGCGCACCAGTGCTTTCTCTAGCACTATTGGGGCCCGCCACACCTGCGTTAATTTGTTGAGCTAATCTTGATTGCCTGATTGATCCAATTTTTAGTCGAAGCAAAATATCGTCCGAAGTTTGCTGCTTTTGACATGCTTCAAAGTCTTGGGAAAAGGGGGCGTTATCAAGCAATGGGTGAAAAGGCAATTATACGCATCAGATAGCGCAAGGAATCTCTTGAAGGATGTACTACTGAAACGCAAGGAGAATGAGTTTTTAATTAGCAATGAATGTACAACAAATTGCTAACAACAAACTCTGAGAACTTTTCGGACACCTCATAACAAGTTTTCAGGCGGATCTGCGTGATTCGAGCAGTGTTTTGGCGCCGGCGAATGGGCGCGGATGTGACATTAATGTTTTAGAGGAAAATAATTACACGCATTTTCAACTCAATTCTCGCAAACGCCGGAAAGTCGGTCAAAACTGGCCTGCTTTTTGAAGATTGGGGCAGTAAAGAGCGTAAGTTAGTGCCGAATCCTCAGCGATTGCTATGGCGATTACCCGTATCCGGTGAATGCTTGACGTCAAATGACCCCGGTATATGAACTAGCACACGAGAGCTCTTCTGAGCTATAAAAGTCCAAAAAAGTTTCGCCGTACCCTGTTGGCTGGGATGCAAGTGCATACTTAGCCACTACAGCCATCGCCACCGCCCCATTCATTTTTTAATGTCCTTTTCCTGAGCTGCAGCTTACTCTCAGCATAGTATTCTCATCTAAGATATAATTTGCAGTTTTCGTAGGCACAGTTCCTAGTTGGCTCCTTATTCTCAGGGCTGTGTAGCACTCGTTTGGGAAAAACAAAACATCCTCCGGAAATAAGCCCGCAATCGAAGGGTCGGCCTCCGTCGCTGCTGCCGTTACGCTGCGAGTGTCGTTCATCATCGGCGGTGGGCGCTGCTCGCCCTCATTTTCAATGCGCGAATTCATTTTGCGTGAGCGGCAGTGAACTTAGGAGGAATGTTAGCTGCAGCCTTTGGAATTCACGTCATATTCGGCCATGTTGGTAACAGAAACCAAAATGTTATTGTCAGCCCTTCCCGAAGAGTTGCATTGCCCTTGCAGTCTTGTTTCCCCACCACAACCAAGCCTTTGAAAGCGTTCTGAGATTCATTGAGGCAAACGAAAACGGGCCAAGCGCATGGCACTCAAGCAAGCATGTGCGCTTCCATTTGCGACTGCGGTCATGCCTCGAGCAGTGTGCTGCAGGGATTGAGGGGAGGCCGTTGGCACTCAATATGTGAGTGTCAAGGGATATGATGATCCATTACTAACGTGCGCTCACACTCGAAAATGTTCCGTGCCGGCCTCCCTCCCAGACTGTCTGTCGTTGCCTTTCGTCATGTAACCCCGTTATGTTTTTGGCCAGATTCTGCTGGACCTGGTTAGAAGTTTGACCGTAGAGCGCGTAGAAGAGGACGTGAGCGCAAGGTGACGCGAGAGCCTCCGAAGAAGTCGTGTTTCCGCAGCGACAGCCCTAATTGACGCAGTTGGATGTTCCGAGAAAGAGATGAAGGAGAATAGGCGCTAATCTGCTTCGTATTCACCAACCGATACAATTCCTAACAATGGATAGCGAACTGTTGATCCCGGATCGGGATGTTCTCCTCTAAACTTTAGTCCCAATTCATTCCTTTGACAAACAGTTCTTTTAACGCTAAGCGATAAACTTCCCATTCCAAAGGTGTGGGGGGGCTTATCGTAGAGAGCCATGGATCGTATTCGTTAAACGCTGGGCCCGTGAACTTACCCACTGGAAGTGCAAATGAAAGTGCTGGCAGAAATCCCGATCCGATTCCATGGAGTTACATCCTAGCACTTCAGATTACCAGCGATTGTCCGCCTAGAGAACCTGCCTCTCAACAAAACGCCTCACTTTTCCCCATTCCTGTGACTACTCAATTGAGGCTATGCCTTGATCCCGTTTCTGCCCGTTTGCCTAAGGCTCCAGCCTTATCGGAAATCAACTGCGCCGTGGATGAGTGAGTGATTTTGAGAGGAAAAGTGATTCATTCAAATAATCTCCTGTCATAAAATCAAAGCACAAATATGTAAGGTCAGTCTCTTGTGAGGCTTCTTCATACTTAATCAGTATCTTCCCAGCAAAGTATTACGGTATTCCAAATTTTATTTGAATTGACAAATGATCTCTTTTGTGAGGTTTGGGTTAGCGATTCGTTGATCCGAAGTTGCGGGGGGGGTTGTCTCAAAGACACTCCATAGTTAGCCCCTTGGATATTTTTGGGGTCTTTCTTCACAGCTTTTGGCTCCCTCTATCAACGTCCCCTTCTAAGTTTTTATTATCTGACAAGTAGTGGATTTGAATTCGGCCGTTGCTGCCTGAATGGCTTCTACCACGGAAACCTCATCACATTTAAACGGAATTTAATTTGTTTTTTGGCTTCGGGTCAACAGGCTTAAACAGACCTATTCAAGCGGAGAGCAAATTCTCTCTAGACTGTAGGCTTTTCAACAGGCAGGCAACGCATGGAAGGCCCACAATAGCTTTTTGTCGTGTTGTTGGCCGCCTCTGGCAACTTTACCTAAGGCGCTTGAATTGCCAAACGACTCACCCTTTCCTCTAATTTGTTGACTAATGTGTCCTATCAAGCGTCGCTGTTCGGTTGCACCACAGAGCGTCAGTCAACCTGTCTTTACGCGGTGAATCGCCAATGTGTAAAGATTTTGTGTCGCCTTTTTTGCCGAACTTAAACTTATGTGATGGGATTCTTATCGATTGAACAGATACTTTTGAAAGGTTTCGGTAGAAGCCGAAAAATAACTAGGAACCAGGGCAGCGTCTTGTCACGCGCGAAAGACTTTTTCGCAAAACATGTCCCCTCCCTCCCCTGCGATAGATATAACGCCTCTGCTAATGACGCCCCTTTCCCATACCCCACTTCTGCTCTCCATCTGCTTAAAGCTTTCGCAGATTCCTATCATATTCTCCGCAGTCAAAACTTCCTCCACTCTACTGCCCAAAAACTACTGCTGCATGGTGGAAGGGAAGGGGGAAGGGGGAGTATTGGGAACATATCACATTTTGAGACAAGAAAAACGAGGAAAGTCAACATCCGAGAACATTCCTCTCAAGGACCAATTAATGCAAATAGGACCCTTCCTGCAGGGCCAAATAGGACCCTCCCTTTGTCCGCGTGATCAGACATGCTCTGGGCCGCTTGATTTGTAAGCCACCTAAGGGCTCAAAAAATGTTAACGTCCTGTAGGGAGACATTCTGTCTAACTATGGGGAAAACGGCATAGAATTTCAACAGAGGACAGCATCTAGATTTGGAAGCCACGGGAAGCCTTTTTTGGTGCCGAATCAAGTGCTGGCGAATTCGTGCAAGAAGCCAAGGTGTGGCGCATTCCAGAGGACTTAATCTATGACGACCTGCTATCTAATGCATACTTTCTTCGTTATCACTAAACAATTATTTATCTAAAGAGAGCGAGTGATTTTCCAAGTAAATCCTCCTTTTCCATTCCCTAATTCACTGGCTGCCCATGTCGCCCATTTCGCCTCCTTTTTATGCTGGCTGAATGCGATTCAGAAGGGAAGGCGCAATCTTCTCTAAGATTCTCATAACATTCCTCACGAAGGTAATTAGTATGCAAAGGAATAGCGTTCGTATAGACTATTTCGCCCTATTTGGCTACTTCTCTCTTGAGAAGATCCCCAAAATATTGCGTGCCAAGGGATTTCTTCCCGAAATTCAAGTGGAGTCCAATCCCATTCAAGTGCTACTTACATTTTCGATGCAGGAAGGGAGCGGTACCTCGTCAGCTAACTGGGTTAATCTAGCGGGCAAAGAAACAACGTCAGGTAAGGCAAGTAGGCTGATGATCGAAGAACAACGCCCGGAGAGTGGAGTTGCGTGGGAGGACATTGAGAGGATAACCACAACAGAACGGTGTGGTGAATGCATTTGACCAGGCGACTCGACTCTTTCGTATATCTCCCGGAGAGATCTCGTATTTCGCTTCTTTCTCGTCCTCGAATCGATGGCTTTCCTCGACTCGGCACGCCTTCTACACGGGAAGTCCAGTCACCTTTGGAAGAGCGCGTTTTTGCTCCCTGAGGGCGCCGCCCATTTCAGGTTGTCATTGAGCAAATTTGTCCTCCTGAATTCTCGATCACTTGTTTGCTACTCAATATTGCTTGCCTAGCCATCATTTTTAGGGCGTCGGGCCCTAGCTGACAGCTGGCCGCTCATGCGGTTGGCCTGTCAGCGAGGGTCCCGGCGAGTGAATTCCCAAAACTTTTTGTGACAATATCATCGGAATTGTTGAATTTCTCGCTGAATGACGCGGCGCGCAAGCTTTGAATAAAGCCTTGTTTCCGGGTCCGAAGCCCGTCGTCGTGCCTTTTCAACGTCGTGTTCCGCCTTCGTTCTTGTCCCATGTCTACGGTGTGCACTTGGTATTAGCGATTGAGCGTATTCGCTTGAATGAAGAAATACATGTACAACCAAATCGTTTCAGTTTCCGATTTTTACGCGTCAAAGCGCAGGTGCTTTTCGTCTAATGGCATGATCTAGACACTGCAATAACAGCAAAGCATGCGCAACTTCCGTCCCTCTGGCGACTCGAATAGGGCAATATTGGCCCTCATCTGTATCGTCATTACAATCCATCTCTACAGTTGAGGGCAAGAGGAAACTTAGAAGAACAGGAGATCATTCAACGTATTCTCACAACTACGATTGGAGAGTCAGACCAAGGGGGATGAACGCTTCTTGGCCAGGTCAGTGTTTAGCCAATTCGCTTTTTCGCTTGTCATTAATGAGGGAGGGTTTTAGATACTGGAGGGTCCCGTGCTGGTCACAGTTAACATCTATTTGCGTTCGATCATCAAAAATAGATGACGCAATATGGAATACAGTGCTCAATTTACCTTTCGAGAAGAATGGTCGATGCAAGGCTCGCCTATGGTCGTTTCGAGGACGAATCCACAGAGGTGAGCTATCAGTTCGCGGGTTATCCAAGACAGACAATTTATCAGTGCTAGCATTTTCAGGTGCCGCCATTTGTTGGTATTGGCGACCAGCGAAAATGCGGACCAATCGCAACAAATTTCGGATGCCTGATACCTTTTTCCAGAAACGAAAGTACGTTCCGTTAGCCGGATGCGACACTCGCCCTCTAATTCACTTATGTTCCTCTACTAATCGGCACGTCCGCTGCTCCCCTCCATGCCTTTTGAAACATCTATTAACATCCCTGCTTTCTTTTGAGAACTGCTTCGATAAAGTAGCAATAGGTTGTCTTTCCAAATCCGGTGATGCCTAAACGGACCCAACAGTGCGCAATTCTTTGCCAGGTGAGGCAAATTTTCCTTATTGGAAACTAGGAAACCAGGTCTTTTGGCACTGTGCCTGCTATGAAGAATCCAGTGCTTCTATGAAGCATTCCGATACAATGATAGTTTCTTTTTTCGGCAGAGAACCGTGGTGTTTTGCAACCAGTTCTTTTTTGTAATGGTGCAGGGAAAATGGCACACTTAGTCATGAACAGCGGTGTACCGAATCCCGGTTTTCTTGTGTGGGTCTGGCACAAGGCCCGGCTTTGAAACTATTTATTTTATGATTGCTTGGGAAAACCATGTGTCAGCCGGAACAGCTTTTTTTGTAGGCCTCTTCGTGCTGATGGCGGAGAACAGACGTAGTGGACGCAGGTTACTGGTATGAAAGAGGTGAAGTGAGGCAAACAGCGAGGATTCATCCTCCTATTTAGAGATTTTTTTCCACAAACGCAGTACTTAGGATGCCAACATATTTAGGAGGGGGGGGGGCGACTGGTGGGTAAGGGGGAGTACACGACAGCGCCTCTGTGTCCTTTCACTAATCAAGGCTTAGGCTTAGTAATGAGGTAGGGGATAAGCTCCTTTGCCAGGACTTTCCCTCGAGGAAACTGGTCGTCTGCTCTCGCTCTCCTCTAGACCTAAGGGATACAAGCTGCTGCTGAATGAATCCCTTGACCTCCTCCGTTATTGCCTACCGGAACTCCTGGTCTCCGTTCAAAGCTCGGGCAAACCCTGATTCTCCCTGGCTCAGAGTAAGGCGATGCCCTAGTTGCGCAGCCCACGAGAACGCCGTCTGCGTCCCTTCCATTCTCATTGGCATCTCTGAATCGCAAGACCTTGCTCTCCTTTCTCTTTTGCTTCATCCCTTCCTTCCTCTTCGTTTCCCTCCTTGTTTTCCTCTCTTCGAATGTTGACCAGAAGATAGGTGAGGTGGACTCTCCGCATTGAAAAGAAACGGTCTATTGACAGAAGCCTGTAACCTACACTACATGGGACTAGACCGGTCGTCTGCGCTCTCGCCATGCATTGGTTAGGTGAAGTAAAAAAGGAAGCCGAAGTTTGCGTGACCCAACTGAAGCGCTCACCAGAAATTTCCTTCTTTCAATTCTTTCTGTAAGGACACTGAATATAAAAAAGGATTGAAGTAACGGCGTGTGAACGAAAACCCATACAGCTTCGTATCTTGAGAAACTCGTAGCGCGAAATCAGAACTATCGCGAGCCGACGAAGTTGCTGCACTAAAGTGTCCCCCCTACTGAATAGGACTGGTTTTTTTTCTTTTCTCAGAGTAAAATATGTTTCAGGGAGGCACGACGGCATCTGATCGACAAACCGAACGTGCTCATTCGTATTCACAAAGACGCTCTATTCTAAAAAAATATAGCGTAAGGTTCGTTGCTTCATCGTCATGTTGTTAGCGTCAATTTCCTTTGCTTTCCCTAACGAAGCGCAAAACATTCGAGGAGCCATTGTGTCACATGCTTAAGTGATCTCCGATTGGGCTCATCACTTCAATTCATCACTTAATCCTATCCTCCTATCAGGTTATCACTGGTGTTGTCCTGCCCGATGTCGTTGGAATTCTATCCATTGGATCGACAAAATTGCCTTATCGATCTTGCATCATGTGAGTGTCCTAATCGCTTTTACATACCTCGGATTTCCGTCACCCCAAAGCCTCTTATGTCGTCCAATAGACGTCCCTGATGTGTGTTTCTTCAGATGCCTACACTACTCAAAGATATCAATTATGAATGGAAAGCAGAAATCCTGTCCAACAAAAGGACGGCCTACGACAGTCGTTACCAAGTTTCGAATTGCAAGATGTCGTTACCAAGTACTGTACCAGCAAAACCAATACGGGTACGTGTGGCGCAGAAACTCGTTTATACTCATTTCTTCTATTCTAAACCGCTTTGACGAAGTGTTAGTCGCTGTCGCTTTGGCTGCCGACATCGCTTCGTGCGCTCTCGCTTTAACTCTGATCGATCGTCGGTCGATCAATACAAGAGAGAGGCGATCGATTTGAGTCGATCCATGTGATGTACGGTAGTAGTTTTGTTGGGCATGCTTTAGGGGAATATTCATGCCTGCGTACTCAGATGTTCACGTCGCGAATTCAGCTATTATCTGCTGCAGGTGTGTCCTCAATGCTGTCGGTGTTCAGTGATATCGTCCCATCGTCTAGTCGTGCGCTATCCTGTCTGTCTTTGTCTGTCTTTCATCTCTCTCATCTCCCTCTTTCTCTTTCTTTTTCGTCATTTTGTGTAAGCTAATACAATGTTTCAGCTGTATATCCCTTCGTTTATGCTTGTCATTGTCTCGTGGGTCTCGTTCTGGCTGGACAAAGACTCGGTCCCAGCACGAGTTACGTTAGGTACGCTGCTTACTGTTGCGCCAATAACATACAAAATGTACAGTCTTGTTTGCTGCGAATAAAGGGCCTGTCAGGCGAAATGGGTTTGCATGCGCGCAAACCCGTTTTCCAGCACTTGTCAAGAGCGAGTAAGTAAGACTGTACGGGTTTGGCTGCTCGCTAAATCCATCCCGACTAAAACCCCCTTAATCCTTGGCGAACATGGTGTATTGTAATCAGTCTAGCCCCACACGCTGTGATCCGCTTTTTTATTCACTTCACCTGACTTATCCAATTCAACAAATAGCCCACCCACGGGGACAATATTCGACATAATTAGAAGAAATCCCTTATCTTCCTACTGAGGAGAAAATGCAATTAGATTGCGGCAAGCATTTATTGCTTTGTTATAATGTAATCGAATATTGATGCAAATGACTGGTTAGAAAAAAATGAAATGATGCGGAGCTACAACTACAACGGACGGTCCCCACGGCTTTGAATGAAGAAGAGTAAACAAGTGGGATGTGGCAGCCGCGCGGCGTTGCGTCGCGGTCTCAAATAGGTTTTGACAACTTGTTGTGAATATTCAAAGCATTTATTGATAGAGAACATAAAGCCGTGTTAACCTTTTCCACAGTCATTGCTCAATATCAACGGTTCAGTAAGTGGAATGCGAAGGGGGGGAGGGGAAGGTGGCAAATATAGTATTGTTACGTGTAAATTTACCGATCGACGTTACCGCAGCGGAACCACATTGGCTCGGGGTAGAGTGCAGCTCTGTCATCGCCCATAGGCTTTCAAAGGCATGGAATTTCAACGACGAAAGAGATCAGCTGAAGTGCGCATATCTTAAAGAGGTATCGGCTTCGCTTTAGAATTAATGTCGAGGGGGGGGGGGAACTGCCGATTTGACTCAATCGTTTTCTGCTTCCTCTATTGAAGTGAGCGTCATCAAACTTCAGCTTTTGGCTAAAATCTAGAAGAGTTCCTCTACGCTTTTCTTTTTTTGCTGGGGAAGATTTGTTTCATAGCGGATATTGCCTGAAGTGTAATCTCCAAAGATGAGCGCTCTGGACCTCGACCGATACTTATTTCCAGAGATTTTTTGTAGGCTGATAGGTATGAAGGACTTTATTTCCTCGGTACCACTATAAAGGGATATTTACTGAGCGCTTTCAGTGCAATCTCGGTAACCTAAAGACTCATTCTATTGAGAGGGATAGGCTGGATAATAGCAAATTGTGCTCAATCCATCCCGGCCATCATGCTGTAAGGCCCATGCGCACAGCACTGAGAAAGGCACTATGATTTTGGGTCTCCGCCCATTCGGTTATCGCGGAATTTGCGAAATGTTTGCCTCTGCGAGCTGCCTGAACTAACCATGTTCGTTCACATTACACTTCAATGCCAGGTATCATAGGCGCGCATAGAGCCTACTAGAAAGCTGTCCCATGGGCGCACCGAAAAAAAACTGCTGTTCAGTCTGCCTGCTCTGAAAAGTCTTGCAACACATTAAAACGGGTGCATAAGGCGAAATGCGATGACGATCGTGTTTTCAGGTGTCACCAACTCTGCTCACCATGACCACACAGGAAAGCCAGCGTCCATGTTGTCTTTCGTTTTCGTTCTTGTAGTTGTTCGTGTTGTCATGTGTTGATGTGGTTGTTGTTGTTTGGTTCCTAAAGTCTGTGAACAATAACAACTCGCTTTTAGAGTTCCGGTATCAATGCCAACTGCCGCCGTCAGCTACACAAGGCACGCGGTTATCTGCTTTATGTCGTAACTTAGGCTGCGATCACACTCTGGGAATCAGGTGGGCTGCTGTTAATGTTGGGTAGCACTTGCTGCTGATTGTGAGAACTGTATCCTTTCTGGTTGTATAGCGCTTGTACCCGCCGTGCGCTGCGCAAAGGCTTAATTTCGCGATATGAAAAACAAACTCGTCCGTTGCGGACGCTAAGGTGTGTCAGAGCGCGTTGATACTTCGCGACCCGCTATCAGATCGCTCGACTAGTAGAGCGATGGGTCGCCCGACAGATCGCGCAATCTGCGAACTACGAATGCCCAGGAGGGTGGCGCGGCGCTAGCACATTTCCCACCAACTGTTGTCGCTTTACTTTTCTGCGACAGTTGAAGGGAACCTGCTGACGACGGCTGAACCCGGCTTATCTAGCCCGCTCGTAATCCGCAGGCGACCGATACTACGTACGCTCGAGTTCGTGGCGGCGGGGCCCGTCATGGCTTTGCAGTGGAATTCTGCAACATCGCCCCTCGCGACTTCCTCTTCTGACGTTCTGCTTGTTCAACTCTCATAGTGTCAGTATGGAGTATACGATCAAGCTGTAGAGCGGAGCGGGATTGGTGGGTAGGTGATGAAAGGAGGCTGCGACACAAAGAAAAATCAACTATCAAAAAATTTTCCTCAGATCAAACACGATACCCATATGTACCATACCCAACGATGATGTGCCCTGATTCAAATTCCAAATTGGAAAGTGGTTCAAACGAAGACATCCTCAAAATTTGCCATCGAGCGGATGCAGTGGGTAGTAATGTGCGTGAAACTGGAACTGGAAGTCAACAATGAGAAAAAACTGTCCTGTCCAGAGACCAAAAGTACGCCCTGCAGGCAGAAGGGGGAGGGGGAGG